ATGCAAGGTAAGCAAGAGTTGGGTAGAGGAATTTATAATGCAAAGCATGCATGAAAAGAACTTGCACCTGCAATTATTATGCATGAATATTCACTTTCAGTTGTAGATCATATTGATTTCAAAAGATATTTATATGCTCTCCAACCAGTATTTCAAGTTCCTTCTAAAAATACTATTAAAAAAGAAATATTCAAAGTCTATATGTATGAGAAATCAATAATTTTGAAGTTATTGGATAGCTTTGAAGGAAGAGTGGCAATAACATCGGACATGTGGACTTCGTGTAATCAACAAAGAAGATATATGGTTGTCACTTGCTAATTATATTGATGATCCTTAAAACTTACAAAGTCACATTTAAGGTAACAAATAACTTTCCTAGTCATATTTTATATTATTTTTATTTTTATTTTTTATTTTTTTGTATGATAAAATGATTGAATATTTATTAAATTTATGTGAATATTATTATGTTAGGTTCATTTATGTTCCATTTCCTCACACAAGTGATAGATTTTGCAATGCATTAGTTGAATGTTTGATGGTTTGGACCATTGATACAATATTTTCCACTATTACCCTTGATAATTATACCATAAATGATGCTATGATTGAAGAAATTAAGTGTAGATTTCAAATTAACACTTTATTGAGACGTGAAGATTTATTTCACATGCGTTGTTGTGCTCACATATTAAATTTGATAGTCAAAGATGGGTTAGAGTTGGTGAAAGATGAGGTTGAAAAGATTCAGGGTAGTGTAGTATATTGAACTACAATACCTAAGAGGAAAGAAAAGTTTGAAGAAACAAGAAAACAATTGCACATCTCTTATACTAGGAGCTTGGTTTTAGATTGTCCAACTAGATGGGATTCAACATACAAAATACTTGAAATTGCCATAACATATGAGGATGTATTTAATCGATTGAAGAAGTGAGATTCTTAGTATACTTGTTTGACAACTAGTTTCCAATGACAGTTTGCAAATGATGTTTGTGAAAGGTTGAAATTGTTTAATTTTATAAGAGAATTATTTTATGCTACTAAACATCTAACTGCTAATGTGTATTTTTCTAATATATGTGAGATTAAATTGACATTGATTCAGTGGATTGTGTCTCCCAATGAAGAGATTAAATTTTTTTTTAGAAGATGTTCAAATCTGATAAGTATTGGAATGTGATTCATGTTATTATGGGAGTCGCTAGTGTTTTTATCTTATATACAAAATGAAGTTACTTGAATATCATTATGAAAAATTATATGGTCATAAGTTATTTTGATAAGTTAGGATGATTCATCAATTATGTTATGACTTGGTTTTTGAGTATCAAACAAGAATGAATAAAAACACAGTTGGTGAGTCTCTAACAAGGGATGATACTAATGTTGTTGGTGATGCATTAAGTGAGTATGAGATATATATTTTGAGGGAAAAAAAGGGCAAAAAGTACATATGTTAAAACACAGTTAGACCTCTTTAAATATATATTTAATTATTATAGTTTTAGATTTTAACAAGTATTATTTTTATATTTTATCTTTAGGTAATGTGAATTCTCAATTAATTGATGACTATGTTACTTTATTCAATGAGATAGATTTTCTTGATGAAGGTATTATTTTACTTATTCAAAAAATATTATTTTTTTAAGATTTTATTTCTCTTTTTAGTAATACATTTTATTTTAGATTATGTAGTTGAATTGATGGACAATGCCATTGTTGCTCATTTGGAAAATGATCATTAGATTATTCAATATTTGTTATTCAAAACTTTTTTTATGGTATGTCCTTTGAAGTATTAGTGGTTTAAATTGTGAAAAAAAAATTAATATTATTAAATTTTTAATATTTTCCCAACTGAATTTTGTTTCCGCATTGTTATGTACAGTTATATGCATTTTTATGTAGTTTTTTATATTATTTTTTATTATAAACTTTGTTTACTTATTTTTATTAGTGTTTTTTAATATGTATTTCATAATTGTTTTAAAGGATCATGAAACTTGTTTTTATTATATTAATTTTTTTTTCAAGGATTAATAGTTAAATGGATTGGTATTTTATAATAGGAAGAAAAAAGAATGATCAAATATAAATTTTATATATAAATATCTTAATATAATTATAATAAATTAAAATATTCACTCAATTATAAAGTTATATTTTTTTATAAGAAATAAAATATAAAAAGAATAATATTAAAATTAATTTATTATAATTTATATATAATTACTTTTTTTTAAAATACCATAGAACGGGAACATGTCAGCAATGGAAAACTTGATACCCAACGGGATGAGGACAAAGACTTAATTTTTAACCCGAACAGGTAGAGGTGTCAAAATACTAGTCCGAAAGGTCTGAAAAATAGGTTAGGCTAAGCAAAAAAAATTATGTCGTAAATAGAACTAGGCCGATTTTGCCCCAACCTATTAAGGTCATATCTAAATAGGCTTAAGTCAAGCTAGCCCGTAGACTTATGGGCTGGTCCGTTTTATAAAATATTAATTATTTTTATAATAAAATAAAAGTAATATTATTTTATTAGAATATATATGTATAATAAATTAATTTGATATATATATATATATATATATATATACATATATAATTTAGAAAATAAACTCTAAACATAAATTTTATTTTTTTTGGTTATCTTCTTTTCATATATTGTTCATTGTCACATTTGTTTTTAAGGACCAATAATTTAAGATTATATATACTTAAATGTAGTGTATTTCGATGTATCATAATGTAGGAGTTATGTTGGATAATATGACTATTGTTGAAACAATAAAAATTTGACTCTAAAATTTATCGAGATGCACTTGCTAGATGTATTATTTAACATGATTTTCAATTTAGCTATGTTGAGTATGAGAGAGTTTGAGAGGTAAATAAAATTTTGAATACTGATTTTAAATCAATTACTAGAAACACTTTAATTACAAAAGTTTATAACATGTAATTTAATAATAATACAAAAAACTAAAAGATGTGTTTTCTAATATTTCTAAGAGGATATGTTAGACTTTTGATGAATAGACAATTATAACTCCTCAAGTCTACTTGATTATAACAATTCATTTTTATGATTTTATCCAATAAAATTTTGAACCATAAAATGTTGTTCGATAATATTTTATGATTTTATTTTGTCCGGATAGGTTATAAATAAATAAACAAATGAATGACATATTATATTTTCAAACAAAATTTAAAAAATTATATAAATAAAAATATTATTTTTAATTAGGGAAAAAATGGTTCGTTAGCTCGTTAGCCTAACATAAGGGTAGGTTAGACAACAAATTTTGGTATGTTTTAAAATATAAATCGAACTGGACCATTAGATTTTTTTACTTGACCCATATGATCAAGTTAGACTAGATTGGATTGTCCGTTTTGGCAATCCTACCAGCAGGGACCGATGGCGAGATGGCGAGAGTGGTTAAATAAGTCAGGGGCAGGGAGGCAACACTCACCCTCCCCTTTGCCATGCTTACCTTAGATGTCTTGAAAATTAAAACACTTATAACTAAAATGAAGAAAATATGAAATGTTGGATTTTGTATAATTCTTCCAAAAATAGAAAGAGAATTAGTCTGGTCTCTCGTCTCGTTAGTCTCAATATCAGATTTATTTCATTTTTAACACTTTTTATTCATTACCTCTTTAATTATATTTAATATATTTTTTTGTTCTTTTTTACCTTTTTAGTATATTAAAATAAGTTTAGTATGATTGACAGATTGAAAAACAAGAGAAAAAAGTTAAATTGAACTAAAAAAATTTATTACCTAAATTAAATCAGTTCAATTTTAATCTATAATCTATTTAACCTATAGTATAGTAAATTAGTCTATAGGCTTATACGTGTCTAACATCCCTTAGTACACGATTTAATAATTAAAATGAATTATTATTTTGGAATAATGAATGATGATAATGAAGAATAATTTTTTTCTAAGTGAATTGATAAATTATCTTGTAAATTATATATTAAATCATTGTATCTAAAATAAAAATTAATTTCATTAATATAAATTAAATTTTTTTAATTTATATTTTACTTTTTTATACTTTTGAATTAATTATTTTCAAATAATATGATAATTTTTTTAATTTTCAATTAGACTATTAATCTATTAATTTAACATAGGATTGAATTTGATAAAAAATTATAATTTATTTTAAAATATAAGTTAAATTGAAATATTAATTTTGGTTATTTGTCTCCAAGTGTACGGGAGGGAGGCCTCTTTTGACTTTCTTATTATTTTTATCTTTTATTAGTTAGAAAAACTTTTAATAACGATTGTGCAAGAATAATCTTAAAAGTATTTTTGTTTTTTAGTTTTAAAAGAAATAAATAAAAATGGTAAAATGTGTTTTTTTTTTATTATTATTATTTTGTTTTCATAACGATACAAGTTTTTTTCTTATCAATTTCATTTCATCACCATCAATTTACATAGAGTACTTATATATTGACAATTCCTTTAAAAAATACATTTTTCATAAAGATTGGTTTTCAAAAACTAAAAAAAAAAAGCACTGGTAGGTTTTTATGCCACTTTTATTTATTCTTTCTTATTTATTTATTACCACGTTAATTATGTTTATTATCTTCCCTTTCTTTTTATTTGTTCTCTCTTTCATGTTATTATTATTTTCTAATTTATTAAATAATTTATTAATAACCGTTAAAAAAAGAGAAAAACCTAAATCAAACTTCTTCTATCTCATTTAATTTCTATATCACTTTTATTTTATTTCTTTATCTCTCTTTATTTATTATCTCATTAATTACAGTTAACATTTTCTCTTTCATGTTATCCTTATCTTCATTTATTAATACCAACGGTTGATCTTTTTCCTTGCCCTTCCCTCTTGACCCCGAAGAAGAGGTTTGACTCATCATGTTTATATTTTGGCTTTTGCAACCGAAGTATTGAACTAAAGATTATCTGAATCCATGCCCAACAACCATGTCTGCCATCGTAGCCTTTATCTCAATCTTTCTGCTCCACGTTGTAACGGTAGTTTCAGACACCATTCCCCAATGTCTCTCTCTTCATTCTGACCCCTCTCATCCCATATCTGCTGTCACCTATTTCCCCGACAACCCCTCGTTCCCTCCCATTTTGGAAGCCTATATCAGAAACCTCAGATTCAGTTCCCCCACAACTCCAAAACCATCCTTCATTGTGGCACCAAACCACGTCTCCCACATCCAAGCTTCCATCATCTGCTGCAAAAAGTTCGGGATTGAGATGAGAATAAGAAGTGGGGGGCATGACTATGATGGCCTTTCGTACGTGGCAGAAGTCCCATTTGCCATTGTGGACATGTTCATGTTGAAATCGGTGCAGGTCAACGTGGAGGATGAGAGTGCGTGGGTTGAGTCGGGGTCAACGATTGGTGAACTTTATTATGGGATTGCTGAGAAGAGCAAAGCCCTTGGTTTCCCAGCTGGGGTTTGTCACACTGTTGGTGTTGGAGGGCACTTCAGTGGAGGAGGGTATGGGAACATGATGAGAAGGTTTGGTCTCTCTGTGGACCATATTGTTGATGCCCAAATTGTTGATGCTGAAGGGAGAGTCTTGGACAGGAGAGGAATGGGGGAGGATCTTTTCTGGGCCATTAGAGGAGGTGGGGGAGCAAGCTTTGGGGTCATTGTTTCATGGAAAATCAAGTTGGTTCCTGTGCCTCAGGTTGTAACAGTTTTCAGAATTGAGAAAACATTGGAACAAGGTGCCAGTGATATTGTTTATCAGTGGCAGTATGTTGCTAATAAGATACATGATGGCTTGTTTATTAGAGTGGTTCTTAGTCCTGTCACAAAAATGGGTAAGAAGACGATAAGGGCCAAGTTCAACGCCTTGTTTCTTGGAAATGCACAAGAACTGCTTCAAGTGATGAATGAGAGCTTCCCTCAACTGGGTTTGGTTGGTGAACAGTGCATTCAAATGAGTTGGATCGATTCCGTTTTGTTCTGGGATAACTATCCGGTGGGGACTTCCCCTAATGTTTTGCTTCAACGGCATGGAACAGCAGAGAAATTCCTAAAGAAGAAATCAGATTATGTGCAGCAACCCATTTCAAAAACTGAGCTTGAAGGTATATGGCAGAAGATGATGGAAGTAAAAAAGCCTGTTTTCACATTCAACCCCTATGGTGGAAAAATGAGTGAGATTTCAGAGATGGAAACACCATTTCCACACAGGGCTGGTAACATATATAAAATTCAGTACTCCGTGATTTGGCAAGAGAAGGGTGGAGATGTTGCTAGTCGATATTTAAATTCGATTCGGAGCCTCTATGATTACATGACCCCTTATGTGTCAAGCTCACCTAGAAGTTCATATCTGAACTACAGAGATGTTGATATAGGTGTCAATGGACCTGGAAATGCTACTTATGCACAGGCTAGTGTTTGGGGTAAAAAGTATTTCAAAACAAACTTTGATAGGCTTGTAAAGATAAAGACCAGGGTAGATCCAAGCAATTTTTTCAGATATGAACAGAGCATTCCATCTCTTGCTTCTGCTCATAGTATTAGTTTAGTGTCAGAATAGAACAAGCCTTGAAGGCATGACGAGGTGTAAAAATAAAGGTCCAATTGAGGAGAAAACCAGTTCAGACTTATAGTTTGCCATAAAATTTGACTTGTTAGGGAATTGTTTGTTATATGCAATAGTATTATTTACTTATTTTATTTCAATTTCCCCTATATTTGTTTGACAAAAGAAAATGTGTCATTTAAAAAAAAAAAACATACATGAAAAATAAGAAAATTTGTCATTTCAATTTCCCTAAAATTTGTTCGAAAAAAAAAATATTAAAATTATATGTGTTCATTTAAAAAAATACATGAAAAATGAAAAATGGTAATTTAAAAAAAAAAGTTATACCAGTACAAAATATATTTATTTTGAAGAGATAAAAAAATTATATTAGAAAATAGTATTTCAATTATACTTTCTATTATTTTATCTTCTATGACTAGAATATCTCTTTTCTTTTTCCTTTTTTTTATGAAATGGGATTAGTATTTTTTAAATTTTATCAAAATGGGTTACATATAAAAAAAATATGAAAATGAATTAAGTGATCCAAAAAATAAAGATAATTTCTTTTGAAATTAAGTCATGATAGGTAATATGACCAATTCAGTTATAATTGAATAAAATGAATTCGTATTAAATATATTTTAATTATATCTAATTTTTTGAAAAAATTATATATATATAAATATATATATATATATATATCATTACAAATTAATTTAATTTAAAATTTAAAATAAGTATATTAAAATTGTTAATATAATTAATAAATTTATATATAAGTTATAATATTTTAAAATGTATACACAAAAATTAAATACTTTTTAAATTTATTTTCCAATATATTAAAAATTTATATATACTTGTCTGTATATATAATTTAGATAAAAATTTATTGTAAATTATATTATATATTATATATTATGAAATGTTAAAATAAAACAGGATATAATATTAATTTTCTTGTGTAACACACGTTAATGTATTTAAGTCCATTTCATAATTATTATAAATGATATTATATCTAATAATATTTAGAGGTGTCAAAATAGGGTTTAATGACCTAAAAGATATGAGAAATATATCAAGTTAGCCAAAAAAATTTGTCTTAATTGAATCGGACACTGCTTTTGTCCCATCTATTTAGGTCAAGAGTTATACGAACTTATATCAGACTAGATCATAGCTTATCGATCAGCTCGTTTTATAGAATGATAACTATTTTTTAATTAAAAATAATATTAATTACTATTTTAAAATAATAAGTTATTAAAAAATAAATAATGATAATAAAGAGTACATTTTTAATTCTTATTTTGAGATTGAATGGATGTATTCTTTTGTAATTTATATATTAAATTATTATATCTTAAATAAAAACTAATTTCATTTATAAAATTTAAAATTTTAAAATTATATTTTTTATTTTTATTTAAATATTTTTTAATTAATTAATTTTATAAATATGTTAATATTAAAAAAAAATCAATCAGGTCAATATTGATCCGTTAGCTAGTTAACTTCATATAGGATTAGACTAAACTAAAATTTTTGGCCCATTTTAAAATATAAATCAAGTTGAACCATCAAATTTTTTTTACTTGGTGCATAGGGCCAGACCAGGCTGTGTTAGACCACTTGTTTAGACAACTTTAATAATATCTAACACTCATGTTCAAGCTAGTACATATAAATTGTATCTACAAGGTTTATTACAAATATAATCAATTTATGTCTACGTAAAGACTTAGTAAAAATATCTACTAATTGATCATTTGAGTTAATAAACTCAGTCTTGATGTCTCTCTTTATAATCTTTTCTCGAATAAAATAACAATCAATCTTAATGTGTTTGATCCTTCTTTCATGAAAGATGAGATTAGAGTTAATATGAATAACAACCTCATTGTCATATATAAGTGTCATTTGAATAATATCTCTATATTATAATTTTTTAAGGAGTTGTTTAAGCTAAATAAGTTCATAAGTGACTGAAGTCATAATTTTATATTATGCTTATGCACTAGATCTTGTCACAATATTTTATTTCTTACTATTCCAAGAGATCAAGCTGTCACCAATGGAGACATAATATCCAGAAGTAAATATTTTATCAAAATGAGATCATGTCCAATCAACAACTAAATAACAAATAACTTTAGTATGGTTATTGTGACCATATAACAAATATTTTCTAGGGGATCATTTAATATACTTCAGTATATGAATGACTGCATTCAAATGATTTGCGTATGAGAAATTAAGAAATTGATTCACCATACTAACTGCAAAGGAAATGTTAAGACGAGTAATATTAAGATAGTTAAACTTTTCAACTAATCTTTTGCATTTCTCATAATTTGAGAGAGCTCCCCCTGATTAGGTAGGAGCTTAGTATTGAGATCCATAAGTGTGTTAACAGATTTTAAGTTCATCAATCAAGTACTTAAAAAATATCCAATGTATACTTCCTTTGAGATATAATAATATCATTGTTAGATTGTGCTACTTCAATCCTTAATAAATATCTGAGTTTGCCAAGCTTTTTGATCTGAAGTGGTGACAAAGGTGTTGCTTCACTTGTGAGATGCGATGGTGGTCACTGCTAGTAAGAACAATGTCATTAACATATATTATTAGATACATATACCCAACACTCAAGTGATGATAAATGATGAGAAGCTAATAGGAAGAATTTTGGAAGATTTAGTAGAAGATTTGATGAAGTCAAAAGAAAATATTGTGTTAGTCATTAGTGTGTCTGCATTTACATTGTGTAGGTATAAATATCTATCATCTCCTTAAGTATAAATTTCTTTCTTTTACAAAGTATAAAGTGTCTCAAGTATTTTTTTAATCTGTTAAAAATAGTTTTAATCGATTAATTTGTTCTTCTACAGTAGTTTTAATTGATATGTTTTTGAAATAATCGATTAAATTCACCTAAGCAGCTAAAGAACATGTGTAGTCATAGTTTTAGTTAATATGTTTTCGAAATAATCGATTAAATTCACTTAAGCAACTTGAAAACACTTTCTCTTGCAGTTTTAATTGACTAAACCACATTTTTATCAGTTAAAACGTCTCTGAAAAATATTCAAAATTGTTTTAATTGATTAAACCTCGTTTTCATAGGTTAAAAGGTCTCTAGAAAAAATCCAAAATTATTTTAATCGATAAAACCTCGTTTTTATCTAGTGGTTAATGGGTTGGTGGAGGTGGAGGATCTTGAGGTGCACTAGACACAACAAAAGGAAGAATTGGTGGAGGTAAAGGATCTTGAGATGCACTAGATACAACAAGAGGATCATATATAATAGGAATGTTGATTATATCAAAAGGAGAAGAAGGAGACTTAAAATAAAGGGAAGATTAGTGGATGTGACATCTCCAGATATGAAATAAGAGAATGAAAGAAACATTTATATTCTTTTTATGATTTAGGAAATCCTAAGACATGTTTGTGTGACCTAGGAGATAATTTATCAAAATCAGAACTAAAATTATGAACAAAGCATATGAACCCAAAACTTTTAAGAGATAAGGGATGAAGAGGTTCATGAGAAAATAAAATAGAATGAAAAATTTGATATCATGTTAAAATAAGATTGTGTATAAGATTAATTTCTTGTATAAAATACACATAAGATAATGTATTTATAATAAAAAAAGACATACATAACATATGGGCTAAGCCCATTTTATAATATTACAATAATATTATATCTAATAATATCTACTAATATCTAAAAATATTTCATATATATATATATATATATAAATTAATTTTTAAATAAAATTAATTTATAATGGTATATATGTAAATATGGTATAATATATATAATTTATAATAACTATATATATATATATATTAATAATAATAATTTATAATTAATTTTTATAAATAAATTATTAATTAAAAAATTAATATAACTGAAGTTGTATTGCCTTCTGTCTAAAAGAAAAAAATGTAAAAATTGTGTTACGTAACACGATTTCTTCGTATTTAAATTATTTTTGTGAAATACCACTTAACCCACTTTTGTAATTTTTAAAAAACTAATCCATTTTAATAAAATTAAAGAAAAATCGACCCTTTATTTAAAAAAAATTCTCCTTATTTTTATTTTTATGGACAAATTATTTTCTATTCTTTCTTCTTCCAATAAACCAATATACATTATTTTATTCAGTGTACGTAGTGTGAAAAAAAATATATTTTATATTACTATAGTTAACCAAGTCAAAATTATTTAAAATATTTTTTCTTTATTATTTTTACGGTACAATTTTTGTTTATAATTTTTTTAATATATATATATATATATCATGTTACTTTTATTTTCAGATAAATTATGGGATTAACATTGGTACTAGATTGGTCATTTCATTTATATTAGGAGGAGTTTTATAAATGACATGAGATTCTAACCTCTTTTAAGAAGGAGAGATATGATAATATAAATTATACATATAAAATAGAAGATGAATATGATTATATGAGAAATCTCTTATATATGTACATTTTGATACCTGCTCTATTATGCTCTTTCTCTTTTAAAATATATTTCTAAAACACTTCTCTTAAAAATGATAACCTCATAATATCTTCACATTTGTGAACATGCTTATATCTCCAAAACATAATAAATAAATTTGGTAATCCATAACCTCAACCTATTCATTTGATATAAATAATATATTAGTTTGAAAGAACACATATACCTAAAATTATTACAAAATTGAGATATATTAATTAATTATATCATAAATAAAATAATATATAATTGAAATGGAATCAATATTAATGATTTTTTTCATATAATATAGTATTAAATGTTATATAGATGACATTGAGAATAAAAGATCAAAATGCATTATAGGTTATTGTGAACAAATGAATGGTTGAATAAAATAAAAACATACAATAAAAGATAATTAGAATCACTTGGTAAGTCAAAGAATTTTAGATTCATAGTTCATACCTAATGGTGTTAAATAAATTGGTTACAAATGAATTTTTGTGCAAATTATCCTAATGATGTTAAATAAATTGGTTACAAATGAATTTTTGTGCAAATTATGCAAATTCTTGAGAGGATTATTCCATCAAATTAAATAAGTATCTTTATCAATTAAAGCAATTTAAACACACATTGTATAATAGTCTTAGTGAATAATTATTGAAAGAATGTCGATCACATTTGTTTTTATATTTATAATAAAGATTGAATAATGAATATGTTATAACTTTTATTTATGTCCATATCACTCGATTTTACAAAGATAATTAATTATTTAAAGAAAAAACGTGAGATAAAAGATATTTTAAAAACAAAGTTTGGTTTCATATTACAAATTAAGTATTTAAATAAATGTATTTTTTATACTAGGGGCTTATAGAACATATTTGTAGAAGATACTTAAATTCGATATAGATAAATCAGATTCAATTGTAAGATTTTTATATATAGATGAAGATCTTTTGAGACCTTAATAAAAGAATAAAGAACTTCTTGATCCAGAAGTACCATATTTTAGTGTTATAAAAGAAATAATTTATCTTGTTAATTATGCTTGACTTTATTAATAATATATGTTTTTTCACTTAAAAAAGATTGGGTTGACATAAAAGATATATTTTGTTATATTAAGGATATTATAAATTTGAGTTTTGTTTTATTCAAATGTTTTAAAATTAAATATAAAAGATTATGCTAACGCGGATTATTTATCATATGCTCGTAATAGTCTATAACAGATAGGATATTTGTTGTAACATTTCAATTTTGTAGGGATTTGTGAAACAAATCATTACAACCACATAATCAAATCATGCATAAATTTTAGAATTACATGTGAATGTGTTTAGTTGAAATCAATAATGTGATATATACGCAAAATTTGTAGTTGTCTTTGAAAAAAATGACACTAGAATTAATAAATTAAGACAATAATGCATTCATTATTCAATTAAAAGAAAAATATATTAAAACTGACGGAACAAAACATATATTATTAAAATTCTTATTTACTCATCATCTTTTAAAAGTAAGAGTATATAAAAATTTTAAAGGTTTGTTCAAGTAAAAATTTAGCATATTTATTTATAAAATATTTTTACCAAAGAGAGTATTTGAACAATTGGATCATAAGATTGGACTTTATTGTGTCAAGATGATGATGTTTATAAAGAGAAGAAATAAGTAAGTATGATTGTATTTTTTTTTCTTTCACTAGATATTTATCTTAAATGATTTTTCTTAGTAAGATTTTATTAGGTATATTCTTTAATCATTAGACATCCAAAATACAAGTGTTATAAATTATTATTAACTATCCATTTATATTCTTAATTATTATTATTATTTATATGATTTAAATATTTATAATTTTTTTGAGCTATATCTTTTTATTATATTTTTTACTTATAAATATGATAATTTATTTAGTATAAGAGAAGGAATAAGAATATTTATTTCTTTTTTTATATATGTCTTAAAATTTTATTTTACAATATTATATGTGTCTTGAAATTTTATTTTATTAATAATGTATATTAAAAAAGAATCATTTTGGGAGAGAATGTCCGTTTATAGTTTAATTTTTTTAAAATGAAACATTAATTTTTTTTAGAAGTTTGAGTTTTTTGTTATTATTGATATACCAAATAATTTTAAAAGTAAAAATAAAATAAAATAAAGAACTTCACAAAATTTGAATGATGTTATCGAATGTGAAATTAAGTTTCATAAATCGAACTTTCTTGAAAATTTGAATGTGAAATTTTTATTGGTGAAATTAAGTTTCATAAATGCTATTTATATGAAAAAAAATACATTACAATTTAAAAAATTATATAACACGAGTCAATTTGCTTTGTAATGTTTAAACATGTAACAATAAATCTTCCGTGTTGTATATCTTGAACCCACGACAGCCACTGAACTTATGAAAGGTGTATCAAAGCACTTACAATTGTTGCGACCAAACACCTTACACCGTTGTTCATACAGTGGTAACTCCTCATTCGTATCTTCACACTATGTGCCCACCGAGACGGAATCACTACTCAACCTTTGTTACCAGCGAGACCTTCCCAAAGCCATGCATGTGTTGGATGCCATGGAAAGACGCCAAGTCTGGGCCGATGCTATCACTTATTCTGAGCTCATCAAGTGTTGCTTGGCTCACGGCGCTGTCAGGGAAGGAAAACGCGTTCACCACCACATATTCTCAAATGGGTACCACCCCAAAACGTTTCTGACCAACACTCTCATCAACATGTATGTCAAATTCAACCTCTTGGAAGAAGCACAGGTGCTGTTTGATAAAATGCCTGAACGGAACGTTGTGTCCTGGACGACTATGATATCTGCTTACTCTAATGCCAAGCTCAATGACAGGGCGATGAGGCTCTTGGTTTTTATGTTTAGGGATGGTGTCATGCCTAACATGTTTACTTTCTCTTCTGTTTTGAGAGCGTGTGAGAGATTGTCTGATCTCAAACAGCTGCATTCTTGGATAATGAAAGTGGGGTTGGAGTCTGATGTATTTGTTCGAAGTGCGCTTATTGATGTTTACTCGAAATTGGGGGAGTTATTGGAAGCTTCGAGTGTTTTTCGTGAGATGATAACTGGAGATTCTGTTGTTTGGAACTCAATTATTGCCGCTTTTGCTCAGCACAGTGATGGGGATGAGGCTTTACATCTTTACAAGAGCATGAGAACAGCGGGTTTCCCAGCGGATCAGTCAACGCTTACGAGTGTTTTGAGAGCGTGTACTAGTTTGTCGTTGTTGGAGTTAGGGAGGCAGGTCCATGTTAATGTGCTAAAGTTTGACCAAGATCTTATCCTCAACAATGCCCTTTTAGATATGTATTGTAAGTGTGGTAATTTGGAGGATGCAAAGTTCATTTTCAACCGGATGGCCAAGAAGGATGTAATCTCCTGGAGCACAATGATTGCTGGGTTAGCCCAAAATGGTTTCAGTACGGAAGCACTCAATTTATTTGAGTCCATGAAAGTGAAGGGTCCAAAACCAAACCATATTACAATTCTTGGGGTTCTGTTTGCGTGTAGTCATGCGGGGCTAGTACATGAAGGTTGGATCTATTTTCGATCTATGAAGAACTTGTATGGGGTAGATCCTGGAAGAGAACACTATGGGTGCATGCTTGATCTTCTTGGAAGAGCTGGAAAGCTTGATGACATGGTTAAGTTAATTAATGAAATGAATTGTGAGCCAGATATTGTTACGTGGAGGACTTTGCTTGATGCATGCAGGGCTCGTCAGAATGTGGATTTAGCCACGTATGCTGCTAAGAAGATTCTAAAGTTGGATCCACAGGACACAGGAGCCTATGTGTTGTTATCTAATATTTATGCAATTTCGAAAAGGTGGAATGATGTTGCAGAAGTTCGGAAGACAATGAAAATAAGGGGCATAAGGAAAGAACCTGGATGTAGTTGGATTGAAGTCAATAAGCAAATACATGCTTTTATTTTGGGAGATAAATCGCATCCTCAAATAGATGAGATCAATAGAAAATTGAACCAGTTTATTTGTAGACTAACTGGTGCTGGTTATGTACCTGACACAAATTTTGTACTACAAGATCTTGAAGGGGAACAGAGAGAAGACTCTCTTAGATACCACAGTGAGAAACTTGCAATTGTTTTTGGTATCATGAGCTTTCCAAAGGAGAAAACTATTAGAATAAGGAAGAACCTAAAGATTTGTGGAGATTGTCATAAATTTGCAAAACTTATAGCAAAGTTAGAGCAACGGCATATTGTAATTAGAGACCCTATTCGATACCATCATTTTCAAGATGGGGTCTGCTCCTGTGGTGACTATTGGTAGCAGATGAGAAGCACAAACGGCCAAGACAAAATCTATGACAAAGCAGCATACTTGACTCCTCAATCAGCTGATATTTATAGGAGAATTAAGTGAGCAGCAGTTATAGCATTGCTGTCAGTTAATGTCAGTCAGGTTGAGTAAGCTTATTCTTTCTTTTTTATTTACTTGTTTCTATATTTTCACTTGGCTTAATTAAAATTGTGGTCCCTCTATTTTACTAAATTGATAATATTGGTTCCTAAATTTTCTTTTTCTACAATTTTAGTCCTTTAATTTTTAATTATCCATTATTTTTACAATCTTTTTTATACAATTTTGATCTCTTAATTTGTATTATCCGTAAATTTGTCCAATTTTTAGTTTTGAAAATTTACCATCTTTAATCCTGTTAAAAAGTCACGAATATCATGTGTTTTCCTCTTATCTCAATGTCAAGTCCAAATAACATAAGGTTAGGTATAATTGAACTAAAAATTGAATAAGGTTACGGCTAATTAAAATTAACTGTGTTTGGAAATAAAATTTCATAATTTTCAAGAAATTAAATTTGAATTATTTTTATTTTAAATTATTTTATTTTTCAAAATGTTTTGTTTACATAAAATAATTCAAAGTTATTGAATTTTTATTTTTCTTGTTAAGTATTTCAATAAGACCTAAATACTAATATTGGGTGTTTACTTCCATTGATTTATTATAGTCAAAGAATGGGAGGAGTGGATTTGAGGGTGATAATTGTGTTTGTATCTATTAATTTACGTAGATTTAAGAGAAAAGGAGAGGGGAAAGGTGAATAGTATGAACCTCCAAAGTTGGATAAAATGCATAGAATTTGGGTAAAATAATCAACATGCTCCTAGTTTGTTTCTGCCTTATGGTTCCAGGTGCACATGTAGAGATTCCATCTCTGCACCAACACAGCTCATGCCTGCTAGTGAATTTGGCCAGACACGAGACACCATAATGCAACATTCTGCAATAGAACACTGGGCATGACCATGTGTTAGACTAATGTTGGCCTGCACTATTCACATGTTGAATGTAGCTTGTCAATCATCATCATAATTTCATGTATAAATGCTCCCATTGTCGTGAAGATTGCAGGTTCATTCCTCCTCAATTCCTATCACCGATTTTGTGATAGAAGTTCCGAACAAAGAACTGGAGTTGTGCAAGGGTTATATCTCCATCGTCCACCCAATCAAGTTAGTTTTATGTCCTTCTTGTATAATTGGTTATTTATCTCCACTATTTAACATGTAAATTCGCTTGTATCATGAGATTGTTGTTGATTTGTTTTGGTTATTTATCTCCACTATTTAACATGTAAATTCGCTTGTATCATGAGATTGTTGTTGATTTGTTGTGGTGCAGTTTGAATTGATTATAACTTGCGTCATTGATACTCATGTGAAGTTTGAAGGAATAATCGATTAGAGGGACTTTTCTAATCGGTTATAAAGAAGACATAATCGATTATCATTGACTGCATAATCGATTATGTCTAACTTTATAATCGATTTTGTCAGGCAGCGTAATCGACTAAGTACTTGGTCTTAATCAATTGTGGAGGCACACATAATCAATTATGTGTCTTATGAACAAGTGTCCCCTACATAGTACTTGGTCTTAAATCAATTATGGAGGCACACATAATCAATTATGTGTTCTCTAAACAAGTGTTGTTGTATATATCATGGAGTGCAATTGTTGATATTGTTACTGTTCCAAGTTGTGAGAAATCATTTTTGTTTGAGATAAAAATATAGAGAAACCATTTGTTTCCTTCATACGCGGTGAATGTTTGCATGTAATGTAATAGATTAGGGAATATAATTGTGGAAATTTGTTGAGATAATAATTGTAAAAATTAGGCATGTATGTTAAGTAAATATGAAAAAAATTGTAGCCAATTATGTAAGTATGAAAAAGTAGTCATGTATGATTAGGTAATGTCGTGTTTGGATAGGCGGGTCGTTGGCTGTTCCGCCCTGTCCCGCGAGCTGACCTAATGAGTTGACGGGCTTGGTTAGGCAGGATAGGTCAGAGCGGGCTGAAGAATTAAAAATATCAACCTGTCCCACGATATTATAGCAGGTTGACGGGCATGTCCGTTTTGCCATCTCTATGATTGAGCTTATTAAGCATGAGTTACAAAAACATGTTAAAAAATAATATTTTTGTTACATAAATGTGTTTTGAATATTCTGAGATATGTTTGTACACTTACAGCTAAAGATAAAGGCGAGGAATAGAAAATAATCAAAATCACACAAATCGAGTCAAATATCACATGAAGATAGCAAAAAGAGTAATAAAAAGTGATGAAATGAGTTTGCTAAAAAAGAAAAAAAAATTCACTTGTCTAACGAGAAATTGGAGTACAAGTTAAAAAATTTGGATTGTGCAATTTTTTTATTATCTTTTTTAGCTAAAAGGGTTTTGATAATGCAATAATCTTTATATAAAAGCTAATTTGGGGAAAATATATTTTTAGATGCTTTATTTGATATTTTTAAATATTTATATATTTAATTATGTCAAAAAATATCAAAATATAGAAACTCTCAAATATTTTCAAATAAGATAAATTTTCTCAAATCTTTTTAAATCTTCAACGCACTTAAAAGATAAATTAGATATTAGAATTATTTAAAATATAATTATTGGAGATTACATCAACATAAAGAAGATTTCATTTAGGGATGACAATTAAACCCGTATATCTAGGAACCGATCCGTCCCCGTCTCAAGTTTAACAGGGAAAAATCGAGTTGATCGGGGATGGAGACAAATTTGAATTTTCCTCGCTTTAAAAAGTCGGGGGTGGGGATGGGTAATGCAATCCCTACACCGACCCCGTCCTCGTCCCCTGTCCCTCGTCCCGACTTTATATTTAAATTTTAAAATATTAATATTTTAAAAGTATTTCCTTTTTTTAATTACATATAAGGTCATTTTTTTATATTTTACCATTTTTATTTTTCTTTTACCCACTTTTTAATTTTTTTGTCTTTTTTAATCTTTTATATAAATTAGTTTATTATATTATTTTCTTTCTTTTACCTTTCAGTTTTTCACATTTTCTTAATCTCTTCAATCAATTTGTTTTTTTTAATCTTTTCAACCAATTTGATGAACACAAACTTTTTTTTCTTTATCTTTTTCTAAATATTTTATATAAATCTTAGTAGTAACTAATATTATTTTATTTATAATTTATATTTATTAAGTTTTATTATGTCAACCAATTGAACAATAATATTTAGAAAACCAATAATAAATTCTATTTGGAAAAGCACGGAAATGAATCTATTTCATAATTATTGTTTTAAGCATTTTATTTTTTTTGTAATTTGTTTCATTCTCTAATTTATTTCTTTATTATTTAATTTATTTTCAAATGATAATTGTTAGTTGTGTACCAAAAAATTCAATTTTGTCATATAGTAATATTAGGCTCTGGATATTATCTTTTACATATTTTGCATCTCATTTATATTTATTTATTTTAATTGCATTAGATTGGATCTTTATTTTTCTTTTTAATTATTTGTATTGTGTTTTCTTAACCCTTAGTATAGGTTTTATAAGAATTAATTTATTTAAAATCAATTTCGTATTTGTTGGATATGACTTTGGTTAGTTTTATCCTTTCAAAATTTGTGGTTATTAGCTTAAAAGTATTGAAGTTGTTATATATAGTTAAATAGTGTTAATTTGATAACATCAATCACAATATACAAAAATCATTTAAAATTGATTATTTTTTTCATTATTTTAGAATATATTTTGAATTATAAGGAGTATTTTCTAACACAACTTACTTTATCATTGTATGATGCTAAACGTTTAATCATTTCAAGAAAGTTACCTCTATTACTTGAATATGGAGTTTCATCATGATCTCTAAATACACAAGCTTGAAATGCTAGCCAACTAATTTATCAATAGAAGTTTTAAGACTTAAACGATTTTTGCAAACTTTTTTTGAATTTTGCACATTTATAATGTTGTTAATGTGCTCAGATTGATTCAATAAATCTGTACATGTTTTCATTGCATTGTTATGTGGTGAACAAGGACTATCTCTAATGTGACTAAAATATGCACAATTTTTTCCTGAATTAACTTTTTTTCATGATCTAAATCTTTGTCTAATAAACACATCTGTCCCACCATTTGACAGCGTACTAAATAAATAACATGACAAACAATAAGCTTCATCACTAGTTGGAGAATACTCTAGTCAAGAAGAAAACATTTTAAACTAACCATATTGAAATCTCCTATGATATTTCTCTTTATAAAAAGAATAGTTTTTAAGTTGTATTTGATATGAATCCCAATTTAAATAAGTTTTTCTAATTTTATTTCTTTGATTCATAGAATATTCATGTATCTCGAAGACGTTTTCCTGGGTCATGCTCTAAAAAATTAATATTAAATTCATTAGTTTTAATTCTATGAATTTTAGAAAGTGATTCTTCTAATTGAATAATTTGATCATCAATATCCTGCTTTGAAACAGGAGAAGATGTTGAATTTGTTTGGTTTTCATCTGTACAAGTATCTCTTTTATCACTTTTAAAAAATGAATCTATTCTTTTATGTTTCATATCTAGAAAAAAATGAATCTATTATTAGTTTTCTAATTATAGAATCATAAAAATTTATAAAAAACAAAAATATTTTTCTCAAACAACAAATATACCTCAACAAAAATCAAAATAACAAACAATAATAGAATAAACAATATGAAAAGATGAAGAAAAAATACATTTGTCAATCAATATAATTTCAAGGATAAAATCTGAGGAGGGAGGAAGAGAGACAAACAATGAATTTAAAAGTACAAACTATAGAAACAATTTAATATTAATCAATCAATATTACCATTAGTGATAGTGAGAGAATATAAAGAGGTGAGAGAAGATGAAGAACTACTTGTAATCTTTCTTATTTAATATATTTCTTAGAAATTAGAGAAACAATTAAATACTAATAAAATATTACCGTTAGTATGAAAAAGTAAGAGAAGATGAAAATGTCGGATAATAGAATTATTTTTAATCTTTCTTATTTAATTTATTCTTTCAAATTTTTTTCTTTATGATATATTTAATATTGAGGGAGCTAAAATCATAAATATACAATTAAGTTACAAAACTTTGGGAACTACTATGAAGATCCACCACTTGGATCCAATAAGATTTATTAAAATAATTTTTTTATAATATAATAAATATATAATAAGTTTATTAGTAATAATATTTTTTATAAAGAGAAAAATAATAATAAAGGTTACGATTATGGTTAACGTAAGTTATAACTAATATGAGATAAAAAAAATACTAAAATATATTATATCTTTTATATGAAAAAAATTTGATCTTTTTTTTTATTTTTTACCAAAACTCGGTTCAACCCAAAAATTTAGTCAATTTTATCGATTTTTTTTATTTAATTAAAATCTGGTCATTTGGAAATAATAGACCGATTTCTAGTTACGTTTCCGGTTTAACTGGTTAAATCGATTGGTCCGATCCAATTTCCAAAACAATGAGAATTAACATAAAAAGGCCCAAAAATGTTAGCATCCACGATTTCAAGAAACTATGTGTTTTTTAACTCCCACTTAAGTATATTTAGATCACTAAAAAAGTTTAGAAGAATTGCATTGTTTATCAATATTTTCATCATTGTTCTAGAAATGTGACCTAAACCTTTATGTCAAAAGAAAATTAAACATTTATTTACTAATGTCAGTTTAGTGCCAATATTATGATACAAAATGATAAATGTTTTGCCATACAAAAAAAATATAAATTCAATTTATATAAATCATCACAAAATATTACTAGTAATGAGATGATTATGCTTAAATAATCTGGAACATTTGTTACCAAAATCAAAATAGTAAGTTTATGTAACGAAACTAAATTCCTAGACAAACTAGATGTATAAATAAGTTATAATAAATCTCAATGATCTCCAATATCAAAGTTAATTGATAAGTCTCCATTGCTTGTCCTAGAGTTTTCATAAAATTTCATGTAAAGAAAAACTTTTTATTTAATTTTGTGTTTTAAATTGGAATAATTTTTTTTAAAGCATCACTACTAGTGTAATTTTTTTCTTCAAATTATTTTATAAACATTCATAAGAAATGAATTTCCAACAAATTCTAATTTAAATGTAATTCTTTAGTAGATAATTAATTACTTAAAAAAAATGAAATTCACAATAAATTTCATTCGAGTTTTTTTTGAAGAATTAGTAAGAAACATTTCTTAATTTTTTTGAATAGTTTTTTAAATAATTTTGCTAAAAACTTTCTAGCAAATTGTTTAGGAGGAGCATCTTGTGACTTAATTAAGAGGAAATATGTAATAATAGGAAGATAATCAAGTTGTATTTATCTACACAGTTAATAAATATTGACTTCTTTATGCTAAAAACATTGGGGATCATGACTATTGATTATAGGAACAAAATAATATATTATTAATAAATAATAAAAGAATATGAAGAGATAAAAGAATATTAAAATGTGAAAACTAAATATACAATAAGATATATTTAATGATTATTAAATTTAGATCCAAAATCATAAATACATATATAAGTTACAAAATTTTGGACTGGAGTCACACCTCCGAACTCCTTATAAAGTCTATCATTGTCCTCATATATGGGTTCAAACTTACATTGTAAATCACATTAACACAAAATTGTTTTTTTTCTAAAGCCCTCATTTTTATCATGGGCAAGATTGTCCCCAACAAAGTTTGAAAGAAAGTCATCAAAACCAACATAAAATTATTAAAGTCTAACATCAATATGAGGATTATATCTTAAATCTGTCACAACTTGTATCTTTAGTTAACCCAATGACTTGTTTTAGTATGGATGAGTTGTATGTTAATTCTAGTAACTTTTTTTTAAGTATTGTTAGAGACAATCTTGCACGTGATAAAAATGAGTACTTTGTTTCATATTGTGAAACCTTTATGTGATACTAAATTTGTTTCGTATAGTTTAATGATAATAGTAAGATTTGGTATTTTGTAGAAGATTTGTACCCCTAACATACGTAATTTTATGGAAATAGACATTTTGTGGATATTCAAACATCTTTTTGTTAGTAAAGGGTTATTCTACTTCGTTATGCTTATTTCCACTCTAAATAATATCGTGGTTTTAATTAGAGGATGCTTTCGGAAACAAGGCTCATCAAGATGTTCCGAATTTAAAATTTAGAGACTAGAAAAATATAATTCTTAAATTTGAAAGTGGTTTATTTTTCTTAATTTAAGGAACTAAAATTTATTTATCGTAAATTTTAGAAATTAAAAATATAATGAAATCTTAAATTATGTACCATTGTGTTTTTGAGAAGGAGTGACAACACCTAGGCATTACTGATTTTAGAATCGACCTGTCAACGCATAGTTTTAATACGGCAGAAAAGAAAATGTGATAATTGGGCTATGAATCCATGGCTAAAAATCTGCTTCCCAGTTTGACTAATGAAGCATTGGACCACATCAGCTATGGAGATTGGTAGTTATATGCAGTATCAGATTGTTTATTTGTATAATGGCACGCACCTTAAAAACTCCCCGTGAAGACATCTGAGAATAAATAATCCAAAGACAAAGACGTATATGGAAGCCATAAGCATCATCACCATTTGTTTTTAGCTTTCTATTTCTATTGTGTCGAGGGACCATAGTTCTGCTTATTAAATTAAGATACTTCTGGAAAGAATGCCAAAATTTACTACAAGCAAACTTTGAAAAATGAGTATCTAGTCCGCAAGAAATGCACGAGTACAATTGTGCAAACTATGAACAAGCAAATAATTACTCAATCATGTGTCTCCAAACAAAGTGCCGCATTTGATGGGAATGCACAACGCATTTGGCTGGGGAACTTCCTCCTGAACTAATATTTTAGTTACAAGAACAATCTTCAAGATCATAGTTTAATTGGTTAGGAATCGAATTCTAAATTCACACAACAAATAAGTCTATTTTTATAAATATTCTAACCATAGTTTATTTTAGTACTACTATAAATTTAGATGGGAAAAGTTTTTGTAAAGCAGCTTTACTTCGAAGGGTGTTTCAACTTTCAAAGTGTGGAATAAAAATATAATATACAAAGAAAAGAAAAAAAAAATCTCTTTTTTATAAGCAATAATTGTTAGAACCGAACGGTTACCCTTCCAACAAGATTTTTCAAACGTGGTTCCCACCATCCAATGGAAAATTCAAGTCCCTTGCCTTCTGGGGTTTTGCTTTTTCTTCTTCTTAATGTGACTGTTTCGGTGGCAGCACCAACAGCAGAATCGGTGTATACCTCTTTCCTGCCGTGCCTCACAAACTACGCAAAATCTCCGGACCAAGTTTCTAAGATAGTTTTTGCTCAAACCAACTCTTCCTTTTCTTCTGTTCTCCAAGCCTACATTCGCAATGCCCGATTCAACGCCACTTCAACCCCAAAACCCTTGCTTGTTGTCACTCCCTTGGAAGAATCCCATGTCCAAGGTGCTGTAATCTGCGCTAGAAACATTGGAATTCAACTCAAGATCAGGAGTGGTGGCCATGACTATGAGGGTATCTCGTATGTCTCCGACCAACCCTTCATTATCCTCGACATGTTCCAGTTCAGGAACATCACTGTGGATGTGCAAAACGAGGTTGCCGTGGTTCAAGCTGGTGCCACACTTGGGGAGGTTTATTATAGGATTTGGGAGAAGAGTAAAGTTCATGGCTTTCCTGCTGGGGTATGTCCCACTGTTGGTGTTGGTGGCCACTTGAGTGGAGGAGGGTATGGTAACATGTTGAGAAAATATGGGTTGTCTGTTGATCATGTTGTTGATGCTAAAATTATTGATGTCAAGGGTAGGATTCTTGACAAGGAGGGTATGGGGGAAGATCTTTTCTGGGCTATTAGAGGAGGGGGAGGAGCAAGTTTTGGAGTCATCTTATCATTCACTGTTAAACTTGTTCCAGTGCCTGAAGTTGTTACTGTTTATAGGGTGGCAAAGAGTTTGGATCAGAATGAGAGTGCCACTGCGCTTGTCTTGCAATGGCAGCAGGTGGCGCCGCATACGGATGATAGGCTTTTCATGAGGCTGTTGTTGCAGCCTGTAAGTTCTAAAGTTGTGAAGGGCCAGAAAACAATTAGAGCCACTGTCATTGCTTTGTTTCTTGGAGGGGCTGATGAAGTTGTTACATTGATGGGAAAGGAGTTTCCTGCTCTTGGCTTAAGCAAGGAGGATTGCACTGAAATGAGTTGGATTGATTCTGTGGTTTGGTGGGCTAATTTTGACAATACCACAAAGCCTGAGGCACTGCTTGACAGGGATGTAAACACAGCAAGTTTCCTCAAGAGGAAATCTGATTATGTGCAGAAACCAATTTCCAAAGAGGGGTTAGAAGGGATATGGGAGAAGATGGTTGAATTAGGGAAAACTGGGTTTGTTTTCAATCCTTATGGAGGGAAAATGAGTGAGGTTTCATCTGATGCGACGCCATTTCCGCACCGTGCAGGGAATCTTTTCAAGATTCAATACTCAGTGAATTGGGATGAACCAGGAGTTGAATTGGAAAATAATTTTACTAAACAGGCTAGAATGTTGTATAGTTACATGACCCCTTTTGTGTCCAGTAATCCAAGAAGTGCCTTCTTAAATTATAGGGACCTTGATATTGGTACCAACAGTTTTGGAAAGAATAGCTATGATGAAGGAGCTGTTTATGGAGTCAAGTACTTCAATGACAACTTTGACAGGTTGGTCAAGATCAAGACTGCGGTTGATCCAGAAAACTTCTTTAGGAACGAACAGAGTATTCCAACTCATACTGGTTAGTAACATAGATAATCAAACAATGAAACTGATGATTGGATTGATGCATTTGTTTGTTTCTTTTAAATTGCATGGCCTAATAGTTCCTAGTTCCTACTAAAATAATTTGATTGTGATAGTGTGGAATTTGGGTAGTTCAAGAAATTGCGTCACTGGAATTAGGAACAACCGATCCAGTCACTGGAATTAGGTAAACATTGTTAGAGCTACATTTAGAAAATAGTTTAGAAACCAATATCCATGCAGCCTACTACAGTGCTACTATTCTTTTTTTCACAGGGAGAATGTGCCATTTTCTTCATACATGTTACAATGTACTTAAACAGTAGAGAACAAGTTAATACTGTGATCCTTTCTAACCCAAAGTTAAAACTGCAGACTTGCAGTACTCATATTTTAATGTCATTTCTTCACTGGTTGCAGGATTGGACACTGGTGCAAGTAAATCTGGTGCTGGCAAATTGTCACACTTTAGCCGTTATTGGAAACTGATGCTAGACGTGGGAGGGTTCTTCATTCTTGAATTAATCATATGATTGTTGTAATCAAACATGGAGTTAGAATAATTAGGTTGTTTTACTTTTATCTTTCCCTGCAAATAAAAAATGTTTATCTAGCTCTCTTGTGTACGGTGAGTTTTCGAATTGAAGGTGTTAAGGTCTCTTGAATACTCCATCAGAAAGGACAAGTTACATGCAGGCAAATATTTCCTTTGAAAATTATAAGAACCATTGAAGTATTGAAACTCGTGGATGAATGATGATGATCTCATTCAAAATTGACTATAATTGTACATGAGGATATATAAATTTGTTCGAGTTTAACATAGTTTTTACCCAATCCAATTAAATTTAATTGGCTAAGGCTTGATCGGATTTATTCTTCTTTTTATTGTCTAATTCAATGTAACTCGAATAATAATAGGGTAAAATTGGGGCATCAGTTGAATAATTTTAAAAAAAGTATATTTATTAAGAAAAAATAACACAAAGTAAATATTTCAATATTTTTTTAATAATTGGTAATAATAATATTTATAATAAATATATAAATAGTATTCATATGATAAAATATAAAATTATTTCTATGATAAAGTTACTAAATAAATAAAGTATTTTATTATATATTTACTATGTACTTGAGTTAAATTTATTGGGATTGAAATTCATTAATCCAGTATCCAACTAAAATTAAAAAAAAAAACGTAATTAAATTTAGGTATGGGTGGAAAAAGTGGCGGGGGTGTATGGGTGGAAAAAGCAAATGAAGAACATAAACAGGACATGGTGTTGTGAGGTGGGGCACTAATGTAGTAAAATTGTTTAACGACAGTTAAAAATGACCTCATGAACTTAATCTTGTTGTCTACGTCTTATCGGAAAAATTTACAATCAAAGTAATATGGAGTTAGGATTGGCTTAGGTTGTATTCTCCAGGAAAATTAAATAGTTTTTGCTTAAACCTTGATTTTCTAAAGTCAAATACTAGAAGGTGAAGGGCCTTAAGATTTTTATGCAGGAAAAGTAAATAGGTAAATGAAAAATAGTAAACTAACAGACCAATGAAAAGCAGTCAACTATGTTATGAAAACAATGAATGAAAACATATAAATGAAAATGATAAATTTAAATTATGAAAACAAGTAAGAAAGCAGTAAAGAAATGGGGTGAAATTATATTATGAAAGACTTTTAAATGAAATCAAAATGAGAATAAATTTAAAATGAGAATTAAATTGCGATCATTTAAAAAAAATAAAGAAGAAATTTAATATAAAAATTGTTAATTCTCCAATCATAAACTTGATTATATGATTATCATTAATTTTTAGGATTTTTCTTGTAATCACTAAAGTAAATTTATAATAATTCCAAATAATTATAATTCAATTAAAATTCGTAAATATATTTTAATTCTTATATCATGTAATCACTTAAACTTAGAAATTGAATTATGTTGTAAATGAGACATTCAACCAAATAACCTCAATTACATTGATCGGTTAGAATCGTTAAGAATCAAAAATAAATTGTGGAAAATGAGTTTTGATCAGTGAATCAACAACAAAAACGAATTAGAACATGGTTACAAAGTGGAAAAATAGGAAAAAAAATGAAAATAGAGTAAAAGAAATGGTGAGAAGATAGAAGAAGAAGATGATGAAATGAAAGCGAAGAAATAAAAGAAATGGAACAAATCTTATAAAAAACAACTTAAATCATTATTCATACAAGAGCTTCATGAAAAGAGTTATCACAAAAAGAAAAAAATTAGAGAGAATTTAAAATTGTGTAAATTGTAACTGAACTACACTTCTACTTGAAAACTTAACTTTGTTTTTTGACCTTTTCACACCTATTTATACAAAAAATCTAGTGTACTGAACAACTAAGACTCATAATTACATAATTGAACTCAAACAATAGTTTATGGTGTAGTGAACGATCATGACTCATAATTACATAATTAAACTCAAACAATAGTTTGTGATAAATTTACTCAGCGGTTCCGTATTTGCTAAGCGGAATTTACAATTAAATAAATTGTAAAAGAATCGACGCATTTCATTCGATGGTTATGCGCTCAATCAATTTATAGTCTCGACTTCAAAATGAGCTATCGTGAATTATCTTTAATTAAATATTGAGAGGTTCTTCGATCAGATATCGAAAAATATTTTCGATGAGTGAATTATCTTTGATTAAATTTTGATGGAATCTCAATAATGGTTTTCGATAGAATAAACTTCTTCGATTTTGGCTTCAATGGAATCAATAGTGTCTTTGATTTTTTCAATAACATTTTGAATTTTCTTTTTTGATTTCTTTAACTTGTCATTTATGCAAAACTAAACAAATAATTAATTAAATTGTATAATTTAAGCAATAAATTAGATTTAGAGATTTTTATCTCCTTTTTACAAAAATTATATCAAATATTAATAGTTAATTAAAGAAACATATTAAATGTATGTAAAATACTTTAATAAAATTATTGATAAAATGTGTTCATCGACCTACCACGCCAGCTTTCAAACCTCGTCATTGATGGAGTCGTCGTTATATATAGGAGATACGACGATGGGTTAGGACCATCGTTATAAGTGAGCTATATGACGATGGTTATATATAAATAACTATCGTCATATAAAACATACAACGACGAGTCTTATAAATAATCGTTGGTGTATCTCTCACATACAATGATGAGTTTGGTCATACTTGTCGTTGAATCGTTGTGTCCAATATGCTTATAACGATAATTATAATATTAATCATCGTTGTATATTTGTTTTTTTTAATAAATAATTTGTTTTATGACTCTATACCCATTGCCTGCATATTCAATCAACTCAATACAATACAATGCACATTTTTAACATATTCACGGTACATAAGTAATCATAAATATGTATAATAGTTAAAATTTAATATTTAATATTAGTTTGATTAGAATCCTACAAAGTCATTATAAACATCTAAAATGTACAAGAATAACTAGCCAAGTATCCTTATATTCAACCAAAAAGTCAAACACATGTACTTTGTTAAAACCTAAAAACATAACTGTAATTTAATTATCTATAAAAAAAATCAAAATTGTGTTACCAATATGCTATTTGTTTAAGGAATATAGGTGACTTTTTATGTAACGAACAAAATCATGTACCTGTGTTGTTAATCATCGATATGATAAGTAATTTCCAATGATGATTATACATTGAAACATATTGAAATTAGTTAAAATTGGAATTGCGTAAAAATAAATTATAAAGATAATGTACTTACTCATAAACATATGGTGCAAAATAAATAATTTTTCTCGATAAGAGAATATTTATGATGTATGTTTGTGTCTATGCTTTCTTATTATCCGATAATTGAATGAGTTGAGGATCTATAAACCTCATATTTCCCCTCATTCACACATAAATGGGATATATCCCTATAACAAGTGACATAATGATTAAAGAATTATTTCAATAACTAAAATAGTAAAAATCTTAATTTAAATAACTTACATTATCTACAACTACATAATGAATATGTTAAGCTCTCTATTGTCTGATGCAATCTCTAACATATCAAACATGTGTAAAAATAATGGAACCTCACTCTCCCTACCAAAAATAGTAAAGTTTCATGACACCTCAACAATATTAGTACTGATGGATTTAATAACATCTACCAATGTAGACAAAAAGTCACTAATAGTATACTACTTCTTTTTCTCATCTTTCTGATATCGTTGTTGTACATAAATAACATTAATATTAAAATCAATATAATAAATAAGAATCAAATGTAGGATTGTTATTATCATACTGTGGCATTTGATATGGGTCTAACTAGATGTTTAGGCTAAATAATGCACTTTGAAGTCTTTGTGCTCCATAACAACCTCATCTATTTGCATAGGTACGATAATATTACCATCACGAACTTTCTCTATCATAACCTTAACGAAATGAGCAAGAAAAGACACACTATGTAACAGAGTGACCCCCTTCAAACATTTTCCCCAATGCCACCAATCGGAGAAAATTAGTGTCTTCAACATAAAGCTCACACATGATAAGATGGTTTGTCCCACACACCCACGAAGACCATCACCACCAGTAGAGAGAGTGCGACACGATGAGAGATAGAATGTCATCGCGAGAGAGGGACTGCCACCACGAGAAAAAGAAACAGTTGCGAGAAAGAGGGAGCGAGAGGGAGGGCGTAAAAGAGGGAGAAAAGTGGGGTGAGACAAAAAGAAGAGTAACTCAAGGGAAAAAAGAAGAAGTTGAGGAAGACACAGGGCAACCAAAACGAAGGAGGATGAGCGTGACAAAAATAAGAGAGGAGGGCGAACGGGAATAGGGTATAGAAGATACTACGACAGCGAGAGAGGGACCGCCACCACGGGAGAAAGAAACAGTCGTGAGAAAGAGGGAGCGAGAGGGAGGGTGTAAAAGAGGGAGAAAAGTGGGGTGAGACAAAAAGAAGAGTGACTCAAGGGAAAAAAAGAAGTTGAGGAAGACACAGCGTAACCAAAACGAAGGAGGATGAGCGTGACAAAAATAAGAGAGGAGGATGAAAAAGAATAGGGTATAGAAGATACTACGATAGTTATTACTAATAATCATAATCAAACAACACATACAACAATGGTTAGTAAAACTCATCATTGAATAGCTATTGTCTCCAACATTCGACGATGGGTGTTTTGTAACCGTCATTGTATGTGTTATACGATGACAATTATTAAATAACCATTGTCGTATAGTTGATTATAATTTCAATAATATCATAGTGTCAACTTCGATGAATTCTAAATGACAGTCGTCAATACTTTATTTGCACTAGTGGAGGAAGTTACAAGATGAGGTGAAAGGTTGGAAAGTGACAAATAGATTGAGTGTGGTCATGGTATTTACTAGGTATGAATAGTTAGTGAAGATTTTTTTGTTTAATTTCGAGTGAATTTTAATAGTCATTTAGGGAGTCTAAGATGATTTGTAGGGTTTCTTTTAGGTTTAGGAGATATGGGATAAGATGATCAAAATGATATGCTTCTAAAGATAAAAAGTATAAATATTTAAATAACCTCTAATGTGATACTTACTCTTATATAAATAAGAAAAAACTTTGTTCAATTTATTATAATTTATAATTTAAATTAAATAAAATATTATAATTAAATAAATTTGGTGATATTTATGTGAAGCTTGGATGTATAACTTGAATTGTGGTCAACTATCATATTATTACTAAATTATTAATAGAACTAGTTAACTACCCATCATTACATTCTTTATGCAAGGCAAAATATTTCATTGATCACAAACAAAATATTTCACTTTTTATCAAAATGTATTATTTTTGTCTCTAATTCTTCAATTCCAAAATACTTGAATAAAGAAACAAATGATAAAAATCTCACCACTACAACAAATTATTATTTTAGATAGTGAAAAATATGAATTCAATATTATCTTCATTAAAATAACTAAGTATCTAAAATTTAATGAATTGATTATCTAAAATATAACTAATGAACTATTTAATAAGTCTTCTCAAAATACTTAAAATAAAGAAATCATATAAATGATAAAAATCTTACTATTACACCATCATATTTAGTTATGATGTTTGAGTAAGTTAAGATTATGTTTAATTGTTTTAATGTTATGTTTGGATAATTTTAAAGTAATGTTTAAGTAATTTAAGATTGAATTTTAGTTTTAATAAAATTAAAAAAGCTTTATATATATATATATAAGGAAGATATCACATCTAAACATAAAATATGGTCAAATATATAAAAGACACTACTACTCCATAAATCAATATTTAAAAAATATACACCGATTAACAAAAAAGACAAATTAAATTGTATCTAAATAAATATCCGGTACATGCAATATATAAAATATAAAGATAAGTAAATTTAATAATAAAAATACATCTTTGCTTTTAACTTTCATATAAGATTTTTGACACAATAAATACCAATTACATTCTCTTATATCCAATGGTAAAATTTTGTAATAATTTCTAAATGATATTTGCTATTAATTTATTAACTTTATACGAGTATATCAATATCCTGATTCCTGAGGGTACGAGAATGAGAACTAGACACTACCCATTTTCATTCCTATTCACAACTCGGTCCCACAAAATTTTTAAAACAATTAATTAGTTAAAGTTTTTGGCATATTACTGTAACCTGTTTGTTGCAATTAGCTATTGTTTACACCAATATATAGATTTGATGATTTATCAATATTTTTCAGTAATATTATATGCATTTGTTTTCATGTGAAATGCAGAAGTGTGGTGTTTACAAATTACATGTATACATATATTGCACGCATGTTACCCGTGTGCATAAAGATTACATCAAGACATCTACAAAATAACTCACTGTGGGAAAAACACTGACACACGTTTGGCATTATTGAGTTATTAGATGAGATGGGGTTAATAAGTTGGAATAAAAATATCTCCAACTGGGTTGGTGACAGCAGAACTCAATTATTATGTTGCACTAAGACATGTGGTTGGTCCAACTAAGAACACAGAAGGTGATAAAACCAACCAACCATGTACTAAGCTTTCCAGAATAGAACAAATGAAAAAACTAAATTCTCTGCCATTTTTTTCTGTTATTGTTCTGCTTCTTCATGTCTCTAACTCTCTGGCAACCTCATCAAGAGAGTCCATCTACCACACTTTTCTTCAGTGTCTTCAAAACCACACAAACCAACCAGATCATGTTTCCAACATAGTCTATGCCCAAACCAATGCATCCTACACCTCAGTTCTTCGAGCCTTTGCTAGAAATGCCAGGTTCAGCTCCCCCTCCACCCAAAAACCATTACTTGTTGTCACCCCTCTCAGTGAACACCAAGTACAGGCCAGTGTGGTGTGCGCCAAAAGTATTGGTGTTCAACTCAAAATCAGGAGTGGAGGCCACGATTTTGAAGGTGTTTCATACGTCTCCCAGGTACCTTTTGTCATCCTTGACATGTTCAATTTTCAGAATGTCACTGTGGACGTGCAAAATGAGATTGCTGTGATTCAAGCTGGTGCCAGTCTTGGACAAGTTTATTATAGGATTTGGGAGAGGAGTAAAGTTCATGCCTTTCCTGCAGGGGCTTGTCCAACTGTAGGAGTTGGTGGTCACTTGAGTGGAGGAGGGTATGGTAACATGTTAAGAAAATATGGGTTATCTGTTGACCATGTTGTTGATGCTAAAATTGTTGATGTCAAAGGTAGGATTCTTGACAAGGCAGCTATGGGGGAAGATCTTTTCTGGGCTATTAGAGGAGGGGGAGGAGCAAGTTTTGGAGTCATCTTATCATACACTGTTAAACTTGTTGCTGTGCCAGAAAAGGTTACAGTTTTTCAAGTTGACAAGACTTTGGAGCAGAATGCCACTGATCTAGTGGTTCAGTGGCAGCAGGTTGCACCACACACAGATGATAGGCTTTTCTTGAGGCTTGTTTTACAACCTGTGCGTTCCATTGTTGTGAAGGGACAGAAAACCATCAGAGCCTCAGTTGAGGCTTTGTTTCTAGGAGAGGCTAATGAGCTTGTCACATTATTGGGGAAGGAGTTTCCTTTGCTGGGGCTGAAAAAGGAACTTTGTCATGAAATGAGGTGGATTGATTCTGTGGTTTGGTGGGCTAATTACAATGATGGCTCCTCAGTTAATGCATTGCTTGACCGAAACCATTACTCAGTGCATTCCAACAAAAGGAAATCTGATTGTGTTCAGACCCCAATATCCAAAAATGGGTTGACATGGATATGGAAAAAGATGATTGAGTTGGGAAAAGTTGGGATTGTTTTCAACCCTTACGGAGGGAAAATGAACGAGGTCCCTTCTGATGCTACTCCGTTTCCTCACCGTGCAGGAAATCTGTATAAGATTCAGTACACAGTGAGTTGGCAGGAACCAGAAGCTGCTGCAGAAAAAATGTTTTTGAGTCAAATTAGAATGCTGCACAGTTACATGACCCCTTTTGTGTCCAAGAATCCAAGGAGTGCCTACTTTAACTACAGGGACCTGGATATTGGTATCAATAGTCATGGTAAAGATAACTACCAAGATGGTCAAGTTTATGGTATTAAGTACTTCAAGAAAAATTTTGAAAGGTTGGTGAAGGTTAAGAGTGAAATTGATCCAGAAAACTTTTTCTGGAATGAACAGAGCATTCCATCATAGCATAAGGAACCTTACCGATAATGGACAAATAAACCGATTAATTCATTTAGTTGACTTCGTTACTTTTTTTCTCTATTTGATTGGTTCAACTCTTGAATTTTACAGCACAGTATTGAACCTGTGTATTTCGGGAAATTATATCCTTGTCGACAAAATTCCTTCAGTTCTTCGTTACTTGGTTTGTCCTTCATTATGCTTGTTTCTTCCAATGAATCAAATGTGTACACTAATTTTGGTACAACTTTCGAAGTCTAGTAAAATCATTTTTCACAAGGTTAAGAGTTTGATCTTGTTTCGCCTTTTGAGCCAAGTTTTTTTGTCCAATTTGGATGCAACGTGAGAAATACAAGTCAAGTTTATAACATCATATTCAAATCTTTAACAAATAAAATTATTTATTCTTCATTTTTTTAGTTTTTATTTGTTTTCTAATTTTATCCTGATTTCAGTTTTTTCTTTAAATATATCTTTAATTATATGACTAAATTTTTATATGTATTTTTTTAAAATATATATTTAATTATATGTATAATTTTTAAGTTTATATTTATTAATTAATATTTTTATTAGATAAATTAAAAAAATATTATATCACTACAAGAAATTTTATTAGATAAATATTTAACTATTACATATTACATTTTTATAGGCTTTTGAGCCTTCAATTATTATTGCGCATTAAGTCATTGGCAGGATTCGAATCCAAGATCCTTAGAGTTGGAGACCGATACTCCAACCACTAAGCTACTAGAATTTTTTTATAATAATTTACAAATAAATTATATTTATATATTTATATATTTATATATTTATATATTTATATATTTATATATTTATATATTTATATATTTATATATTTATATATTTATATATTTATATATTTATATATTTATATATTTATATATTTATATATTTATATATTTATATATTTATATATTTATATATTTATATATTTATATATTTATATATTTATATATTTATATATTTATATATTTATATATTTATATATTTATATATTTATATATTTATATATTTATATATTTATATATTTATATATTTATATATTTATATATTTATATATTTATATATTTATATATTTATATATTTATATATTTATATATTTATATATTTATATATTTATATTTTTATATATTTATATTTTATATATTTATATATTTATATATATATTTATATATAATTAAATATTTTTATATATTTTATATATTTATATATAATTAAATATTTATTTTTTAAAATTATTTAATTGAAGAAATTATTATAAATTAATCTAATTATGATTAAATAAAATTATTAAATAAAAAATATTTAATTTTTTAATTAGTTGAATATTTACTAATTGTTAATTTACCGACAAAAATATGCGTCGGTAATTTACGAATGAATTTACCGACGGATGTATCCGTCGGTAATTAATTATTAATTTATCGACTAATTTATCGACGGATATATTCGCTCGGTAACTAATTATTATTTTACCGACGGATATATCCGTCGGTAAGATCAAATTCCAAAAATATTTTATATCCGTCGGTAATTTCACGTCGGTAATATTTATTTTCCACAAATTAATTGTAGTGTATTTATGTATTAAAATAAATAATTTTAATCAATAATTTTAAATTTAATTAATTAATTCTTATAATTTAAATTATAATATTATAATATATTTATATATTTTAATAATATAACACAATAAAATATACTATTTTTAATTATAATATTTTTATTTTTATTTTAATATATAAATATTATTTTAAAGCGAGTTAATATAATCTTTCATATTTCAATCTATTCCGCCATCTTTTAGATGAGGGCATCCGCCAAATTTAACTCATTTTACCACTCTTAATTGAAAATTACATCAAAATGAAATGAAATAAAACAAATAAGAGTGAGTTTGGTTCACTCTAACCCAAAATAAATAAGACAAGTTAAACACAAGTTATAAAAAGTTTAAATCAAATACTTATCTTTATATTTTATTTTTTTAATTTATCTTCATTTAAATTTAAATATTGTTTAAGGTCACTTCTTTTCTGAAATACTTAAAAATAATAAAAGAATAAGGTATTTTAATTTTATTTTCACAGAATAAAAAGTAAAATACATATTTTCAAAAAGACGATTTATCTATATTTCATAATTTATTTTAATGCTACTATTTTTATCAACATTTTGAAGAATACCCGAAACGTTAAAAATCTCCTCTAATTCTAGATGAGGTCTTAAGCTTCATGTGAATCCAATATCTAAATATGAAGGTTGTTAAGTTGAAAAACAAATAAAAGATGCTTGCTTATACGCAAGTTGAAAGGAAAAAAGGTTCACTACATTTTCTGAGACTTTGAATTGAAAGGTGATTTTGATGAAGAACTCAAGCTAGTGAAATTGATGATCAAGTTTCCCAAAAAGCATAAAAATAGAGTGAAAAAGAAAAAGTTCAATGCATAATAATTGTCATCATTCGTATGGTTGGGTTTCCAATGTGATTTGATTCGATTTTTCACTAAAAAACTTATATGAACGAAATATAAAATTTAAATATAATTTTATTTGAATTTATTTTAATTTAAGAAAAATAGAATTCAAGTAAACTAATATTATTTAGACGTTTTTTAAAATTTTATTATAAAATTATTAAATATATTCTAATATAAAAGGAACCACAATGACTTTTTATGAAATTGGGATCTCTTTATTTACGGAGGATTATTTTGTGGGATATAGACCGTGGTTATGATATCTTCGGAAAAAAAAATTAATATGTTTTATTTGTTGGGATCTTTTAAAAAAAAAAAAACATAAATGCATTATTCTCAAAATATCTATAAACAAAATTTAATCTATCAGATGAATTTAGGAAAAATATATTTTTATTCCTTGACTCGTGTTCAAAATAATTTGACTCGATCAGATAAAATTATTATTAAATAAAAATTATATTATAAAAATATCATACATAATTAATTATAATATTCATAATTTTCATTTACTTTTATATATTTTTACATTTAATTTAAATAATAATAATAATAATATAAATATCCTAAATTATAAAAAATTAATTATTCACTCATAATAATATTACTTTGTTTTAATTTTAACCGTATATATTATAATTCAGGTTTGCATTGATTTTGATTTAGGTTGGTTCGATTTGGATTGGTACAAAGATTTAACCGAATCAATTGGTTTAAAAAGTTTTCGATCAAAAACATTTCGATTTTAATCCGTTTTAAATTTTTTATTTTATTTTTTAATTAATTCGATTTTGAATACCTTATTATTGTAATTCTTGTTATAATGAATAGTGAGGTAAATTGTTCAAAGTTGGATGTTACGAATGGGCCCTTGAAATGTCTTAGTGTTCTAAACCCAAATGTCCAGTACTTCACCACAAGATCTTGGCCCAAAATGTGTGGAGAAAAATGAGAGAAGTGGACTACTCTTGGCCCATATTCATACAATCATTTTTTCATTTAGAGTAATGATTATACTATCATTCGTTTAAGAACTCGTCCATACTAGAGTGTAACTAAAGGGTGTGTAGTATAATACGAGATTAGTTAGATGATAAGACACGTTAAAAAGTGTGACTAAAAGTTAATGGAGTGGATTTAACTTAACTGCTCTATACAAATTTATCCTCCCCTTTAGCCTCTAAGTAGGAACCTATAGTGATATAATTTTGTAGCACTAATGAGGTAGAATAGGTTAAATAGCTAATTATTTAAATAAGGCATTAATATTGTTTTGAATCCGAATCCAATTATTTGAGTAAAGTAGTAGTTTACGAGTAATTGTACAAAAGCTTACCTCTCTTCACTATGACAATTAAACCCGTATCCATGAGATCGATTTGTCTCTCTCGAGTTTGATGGAAAAAAATCAAGTTGATCGGGGACGAATTCGGGTTTTTTCAGCTTTAAAAAGTTGGGCGCAGGAGTGAGATGGGTAATGCAATCCCCATCCCAATCCCGTTCATATCCCACTTTATATTTAAATTTAAATTTTAAAATATTAATATTTTAAAGTATTTTTTTATATTATATATAAGGTCATTTTTTTATATTTCACTATTTTTATTTTTCTTTTACCCACTTTTTAATTCTTTTGTCTTTTTTAATCTTTTATATCAATTAGTTTTTTAGATTATTCTCTTTCTCTTAGCTTTCAGTTTTTCACATTCCTTAATCTCTTAAATCAATTTTTTTAAAAACCAATTTGATGAACACAAAGTTAATTTTTTTTCTTCTTTATCTTTTTCTAAATATTTTACATAAATCTTAGTAATAACTAATATTATTTTATTTATAATTTATATTTATTAAGTTTTATTATGTCATATTTTTTGGATCTTATTATTCTTATTTGTCATACATCAAATTTTATTTTAATAAAATAATATTTTAATAGATTAAAAAGAATTGATAATTTAAACCTTTATTATTTTTAACTAATTAAATAAGAATTAACTTATTAAATATTTCCTTATAAACTATATATTTCATATTTTTAAATAACAACTTAAAAATGAATTAACTTATATATATAATCAAATATTTAAGTACAATATAATAATAATAATAATAATAATAATAATAATAATGTTATAAATATTCTATGTATAAATAAAAATGATTAAATATTTTTTATATATATATTTTTAATATAAATATAATAAATTAAAATATATATTTAATTAATAATAATTATAAATTGTAAAATTATAAATATTTATTTATGTATAAAAAATATATAAAAATAGTAAAATTAATTTATTATAAATATAATTATTTTTTTAAAAATAATATAGATTGGAATAGAGTGGGGGTGGAAAAACTCAAAACCCAACTGGAGACGGGGATGTAGACTTAATTTCTAATCCCGACGTAAATCGGGACGGTTAAAAAAGTTGGGAACAGGGATCGAGAAAACAAAACCTGTCTCTGTCTCGTTGTCATGCGTAATTATGAATA